GAATGTCCTGATACATGCAAATCAGGCTAATTTCACAGGTCAATGCTGCTAACCTATAACACACCAGAAATGGACTATTTATTTAATCAGTATATAAGCTTCTTGTAAATTTTGTTTTTAGAGCAGCAATGGAAATCGTTATACTGTGTGATCTGTTGGTTATAGCTTCCAATCTTAAAGATGAACTAGTTATCAAAAAATTGGAATGGAGTACCCTGTAACTATAGGGCAATGATTGAATTCTTCCCAGTGACCTTTCTCAAGAGGTTTCACAAAATTCTCAGAATAAAGTCAAATTAAATCCACATTAAGGTGAAAAAGAAATGCTTATATACCACTTTTAGTTTTTATCTATTTTAACATCCTTTATTTTATTTGGTCTTCACCTTAATCCTATCAGTAGGGCAAGTAACATTTTTACCAATGACCAAAGCTAGTTTAAAGTAGTTCACCTGGTCTAGAGCTCAGGTCTCATAAATTCTGGCTCTACAGACTTCCCACCAAACCATTCCATCTCATATGGCTCACGCTTTGATGGAAGGTGCTAAGGAGTACATGAAATCAAACTGACGATTGGGAGAAGAGGTTATGGTATCTAACACAAGACCTAAGCACATGGTAGAAATTTACCAAATTCAGTGGAAAGGAATGGAATGGAATCCTTGGATGAGGATGTTGCTGAAGGTCATGAACTGAACAAAATATACAGCTACTAACAAGTTTTTTTCTGAAGCCTCCAGTCTGAAAAAAGAGGGGAAAGGAGACTTCTGAGTCTTATCACCCCACCTTCAGATGAGTCCGCTTTGAGTTCCAAACCCTGACTTCTCACAGGTAATCTTAACTGGATATACAGGAATGGGTAGGAGTTATCACCTGCACATCATAGCCATCAAAGGCTTCAAATTCATCATGTCCCAAATTAAACTCCCCATCTCCTCCCCCAAACTGACTCCTCCTTTACCTTTCAGTTTCTCTCGAGTAGCATCTTACCCAGTCCCAGATGTGATTTCTCTTACTCTTCTTTCTCCAACCCTGATGTCCATCAAAAATAAAAGCTCACATTTGTCTATTTCTTTATGGCACAAAGTACTCGACTAGGATCATGAGACCATAGGATCTCAGATTTAGAGCTAAAAGAAACCTTGTTGTTATTGTTGTTCAGTTGTTTTTCAGTTGTGTCCAATTCTTCATGACCCCATTTAAAGTTTTCTTGGCAAAGATACTGGAGTGGTTTACCATTTCCTTCTCCAACTCATTTTATAATTGAAGGGACTGAGGCAAGCAGGGTTGAGTGACTTACCCAGTGTCACATAGCTAGTATGTGTCTAAGGCCAGATTTGAACTCAGGAAACTCCAGGTCTGGGAATTTATTCACTGTGCCATTTAGCTGCCCAATAGAAAGCTTAGAGGTCATGCAATACTTCATTTTACAGATAAGGAAACTTTGTTCAAAACAGCCAGATATGAGATGGGGAGAGAATTTAGAATTCAAAATCTTGTGGAAGTGAATGTTGAAAACTAAAAATAAATAAATTAATTTTTTAAAAAACAGCCAGATCGGATAGGAAATGTATGTATTAGAAGCCCCACTTTATAAATGAAGTTAAGTAACTACTTTGTCAATAGTCACACAGCTACTAAGTCTTGGAACCAAGAATCAAAGGCCAGTGTTCCAATTTCAACTACATCACTTTCTACCATACCATACCAAGTTTGTCAATCCCGAACATTTTTATTTCTTTAATATCTCTTATATCCACCCCGCCTCTCTCCATTCCCAATACCATCATTTAGGCCCTTCTTAACTTTTGTCAGAAACTCAGGACATCCAAACCAGCATTCACTCTCCCCCCAAAATCTCCCCTTTCCAAATGTACCTGTTACTGTCAAGACTACTACTGTCTTTCCAGTCACTCAAGCTCACAACATTAATGTCATTCTCATCCCAGATGGTTCTGCTCATTTCACTCAACATCAATTCATGTAAGTCTTTCCAGGTTCTTCTGAAATCAGCCTGCTCATCATTTCTTATAGCACAACAGTGTTCTATTACATTCCTATACCACAACTTGTTCAGCCATTTCCCAGTTGATGAGCATTCCCTCAATTTCCAATTTTTTGCCAAGTGATTTTTTCTGATACCTAAGTCTGACCATGTCACCACCACCACCACCATCACCTCCACTTAAGGAGCTCATCATGCATGAGATACATACAGAGCCTGGAAAAGACCTCTTGTGGAATGAATGTATAAAATCCTACTTCTGTCATCTAAAACCTCATCCATCGTTCACTTTTCAGTCTTCTCACACTTTACTCTCCATCGTTCGCTGCATGGTCCAGCTACATTGTAGGGAACACGACCCTCTATCTCTGGTCTTGCATTGCCTGTCTCCCATACCTGGAAAGTCCTGTGTCCTCAATTCAGCTTCTCAGTTTCCCTGGCTTCCTTCAAGACTCATTTCAAAGCCTACCTTCTGCAGGAGGCCTTTGCCAGTCTCTGCACATATCTCGTACATACCTAATTACTTATATTTACTCGAGGACATAGAAAAGAATCCCACAGGAAAGGGAGCCATAGTGAGGTGGAACATCCACATGGATCATTTCACAGATACATGCAAGAACCCAAATGAATTACATTCCTAGACAACCCACCGTAAAATGAAAAGTATTACTCTGAGTACTAGTCATAATAATTTTATAGTGCTTTAAATTTTTCAAATTACTTTACACACATTTGAGCCTCACAGCAGCCCTATGAAAAAGGAACTTTTATGATTCCCATTTTACAGATGAGAAAGTTGAGGCTGAGAGAGGTTGACTTGCCCAGAGTTACAAAAGAAAAGCCAGTGTCTGAGGCAGGTTTTGAACTCAGGTCTTCATAAATTCAGTGACCTGTTCAGTAAGCCCAGATTATCACCTACATATGCTACGGAAAGCACTACACAAAGAAACAGGGGACTTAGAAATTAGTCCTGATTCTTCTACATGTCCTTAGGCAAATATTTAACTTCCCTGACCTTCAGTTTCCCCGTATATTAAATGGTAAATTAATCATCATCCTACCTACCTCCCAGGCTTGTTGAGGATTGGTTAAGATACTATATTTGGGAAATATAGTATAGGTAATATTTAGGTAATAGGTAAAATACAGTATAGGAAATATTTCTTTGGGGATCTAAGCAGAATAGCTAGCCTCTCACACACCTGCTTCCCGGGGTTTGGGAATATTATCACTTATCATCCCCCAGAATAAAATCTGTGAACTTTCTGCAACACATTGAACCAAGTCCAGTTTCCAGGACTCAAGCCAAAGAAGTGAGTAGGGTCTGATTTGCCTTACAATGAGTTTTTGCCACCAAAAGTGGCCATTTTATTCCTTCTCCTCTCTTTTTTGATCTCATTAAAACACAGATGTTTAAATTGATGCCTTTTGGCTGCTAATTCTGGAAGGGGAATGTGAAGTCCTCTCACCCCTCTAAAACAGTTTTCAGCTCAGAGAACATTTGTGTTTCTGATTTACACACCCCTGAAAATAGGAGTTTATTATAATGGAAAGGCTGGCAAGACCCTTAAATATAGTGGGGCTGGTGAGTGCAACCATACTGGCATGCATAAAACATTGCCTCGTTAGGATTCTAGCCACTCAGTGAACATCTGGGAAGTTGAGTCCCCAGCTTTTTGCATCAGTGAATGAATTTCAGTGCAGTGTCATTGTCTCCTCCATTGCCAAATAATGATTTTCCTTATGCATATTAAATGGGGTTGTTTTATTACCTGGCTTAAAAGGCTTCAACGGTTCCCAAGAAAAGTTCCAATCCCTCTGCCTAGCTTTCTTCACCATCTAGCACCACCCTACCTTTTCAGACTTGTCCTGAACTACTCTCATTCACATTCTCAACAGTTGAGCCAAATTGAACTATTCATTGCTGGCTATACCCGCTGCCTTAGGTCATACTGTCCTCTCTGCCTGAAATTCCCTCTTTTCCTCCCTTCCCCCCAACCTGCTGAAACCCTTTAAAGCCCAACTCCAATGCCATCATCTCCTCTCGACCTCTTGTCTGATCCCTTCTTTCAATAATCACCATTGCCCCATTGATCCTTCCAGCACTTTGCACTACTTTAAGACATTGATCATACATTATAACAGTCTGCATTTATATAACTTTAAGATTTATAAAATATGTTATCTCATTTGATCCTTTCAACAACCCTGTGAGGTTTAAGTGCTATTATCATCCCTATTTACAAATGATGAAATTGAAACTCAGGGAATTTGTGACTTGCCCAGGGTCATACAGCTAGTAAATAGCTGAGATGAGATATGAAACCCAAGACTCCTGACTCCAAGTCCAGTACACTGTCAACTGCACCAACCTATAAGACAATGGAGTCAAATTCAAATGGAAATGGATCCCTGTAGGCTGCATATTGACTCAGAAAACCTCAAATTTAAATTATTGATGTTATATTGCATTTGGGGGACGGGGGAGACAGTTATATGACCTTGGGCAAGTCACTTAACCCTGTTTGCCTCAGTTTCTTTATCTTCAAATCAGCTGGAGAAGGAAATGGCAAACCACTACAGTATCTTTGCCAAGAAAACTCCAAAAGGGGTGGCAAAGAGTCCAACATGACTGAAAATGACTAAAACAAACAACAAATTGTATTTTTTTAAATTTTGTTAAACATTTCCCAACTTCATTTTAATCTGGTGTAGGCTGAATGTCAAGTCTTTGACACTTCTGCTGTAAGACATTTATTATAGTTATTTGTGTATCTCTCCTATGCCTTCTATTGCATTGTAAAGTTCCATGACTCACAGTCCAGGGGCTGTGTCTCATTCAAACTTTGTATCCTTCCCAGCACCTGAATTCTGGTGCTTTGAACAAAGCAGGTGCTTAGCAAATGCTGAATTGACCGGAATTAAATTGCACTGAAATGAATCCTTCCTCTCATGTCCCTATGGATAACACCCTGTGCTGCTTCTCTCACAGGAGGCGAAGTCACAAAACCACGGTTTGCTCAGTATTTCCACGGCAGCCTGGCCAGTCTCACAATCCGCCCAGGAAGAATTGAGAGTCAGAAAGTGATTTCCTGCTTGCAGGCCTGCAAGGAAGGTTTGGATATTAATTCCCTGGAGAGTCTCGGCCAAGGAATAAAGGTAAGGGATGAACTGACACTGTCTTTGATAACATTTGGACTGATTTATGAAGTGGAGTGTACTGCGTAGAGTACACAAAGTGCGATGTACTCTCAGAAGCTCCACGACTTCCTATAACATCCAGAGGAAATAAAGTGTCCTAGCGGAGAAGTAATGACAGCCCAGAGACAGATGTTCCCATGACATCTGAAGTAAACCCTAGAAAGGGAGGCGCCATAGCCACTGGAAACATCCAGGTCATCAGGCACTTGTACAAAAGCATCTTAATTATCAATGGCTTCTGGGTGGGGCCAGCTTGTGATTTAATTAGGATTTAAAGCACTTAAAAGGATATCAGTTATTTGGGATGCAGTAAAGGTAGGAAGCATTGCTTCTTGTGTTACTGATTGTGAGAGGTCACTGACTCAACAGCAAGGCTGTTGGAAAGATGAAGAGTCAGATGTTAATTCAGTCCCTAGCTCCATCACTGCAAACCATCAGCCTCTGAGCAAGTTGTGTCAGTAATTATGGTGATGGTAGCGACTATTTATATAGGGCCTACTACGTGCCATGCACCGTGCTAAGCATTTTACAAATATTATCTCACTTGGTCCTCACCACAATCCTAGGTGCTATCATTATTCCCATTTCACAGTTGACGAAACTGAGGCAGTAGGGTGCTGGATGATTTGCGCAAGATCACACACCCAGTAAGTGTCTGGGGTTGGATTCAAATTCAGGTGTTCCTGAATCCAGGCCAAGTGCTCTATCCACTGTGCCACCTAGCTGCCTCAATTTCCTCATCTCTAAAATTAAGAAAATAAAAATTACTTTCATTTATACAGCATATCAAAATTTAGAGAGGGCCATGTTAGAAAATATGTGGGGAATATCACCCAAACCTTGTGAGGGGGTAGGTGTAATTATTATCCCCATTCTACAGTTAAGGGAATTGAAGGTTAAGGAGGTTAAGGTTGACCCATGGTCATGATCAGGAGGCAACTAAGTCGCTCAGTGGATAGAGTACTGGGTCTGGAGTCAGGAAGACCTGAGTTCAAATCTAGTCACAGACATTAAATAGCTGTGTGACCCTGGGCAAGTCACTTCCCCTCTGTTTGCCTTAATCTACTGGAGAAGGAAATGGCAACCCACTCCTTGCCAAGAAAACCCCATGGACAGTATGGTCCACAGGGTTACAAAGAGTTGGACACACCTGAATAACTGAACAGCAACAACCTGAAGCTTAGAAGGTGTCACAGATAGGATTTGAATCCAGATCTCCCTGATGGCATATCAGGAGCTTGATCCCTCTATCCACAATGCTCCCTCCTTTGGGAGAGAAGCCTAGCAGGAAGGGAAATAGCCCAGCAACACAAGGAGCCAGTCTGTGATGTCAGGATAGCCCAAGAGCTACCCTGGCATTAGCTGGACGTGGGCTCTGTCCAGGGTCACCTGAGGACAGAGAATCAGGGCCAGAGAGAGACATCATCATTCTTCTTTCTGTTCCTTTTCCTATTTGCCCAGGCCTTACATTCCCCAGGCTGCGAATGGTTACTCGATAGTGCAAAGCTCCACATATATTATCTAGGCAAACAACTTTCTAATCCCCGTGCCTCAACCCTCTTTATTCACTCTCTCAGCTTTCCTGCCAGCTAGGTATGGAGAAACATCAAGCTGGCAGTTCTCTAAAAGTCTAATTAAGCAAGCTGATTACATACAAAAGCAAGAAAACTTTCCACAAGGGAATCCATATTAGGAAATGCAAAATCCCAGACAGAGCAAACTGGTACTACTGATACATGCATGGTACAGAAGAAAATAAATATCCCCTTGCATGTACCACTGAGGGCAGGCAGTGTGGTACGGTGGAAAGAGCAGTAGATTGGGGGTCAAGGGAACAGGGGTCATGTTCTATCTTTGTTTCTTTCTGCATCTATAATGTTGGGCAACTTGCTTCCCATTCTGAACCTCAGTTTACTCATCTGTAAAAATAAAGGAGGTGGATCAGGGGTGAGGAACCTGGGCCTTCTTGGTCCTTGGTTGTGACCTTTAGACTGAATCCAAGCTTCTCAGAACAAATGCCTTTAATAAAAGGATTTGTTCTGTAAAACTTGGGCTCAGTCTACAGGTCACATGTGGCCTCAAGGCCACAGCTTCCCCACCTCTGGATTAGATGATCTTCGAGGTCCTTCCCTTAGAGATTCTCTGATTCCTTTGAGGCCTCAGTTTCCCTACTCTTCAAATGAAAGTGTAGAACTTCTAGATGGTCTCTAACAGTCTATAAATCTAATAGTTTACCTTGCTCTATGCAAAGCACTGTGTTAGCTAAGACACAATCACTGTTTCTGTGGAGCTTTCTCTAATACAGACATTGTAAAAAGAATTGGTCTAGATAATGGAATTAGATGCAAAGATACATGAGTAATCTGCATAGAGATGATAATTTACACCATAGGAACTGATAAGTCACAAAAAAGAGAGAGGGGGTGGGGACCTAGAATAGAGTCTTGGGAGAGTCAGGGGCATGATCTAGGTGATTCATCAGCTAAGGAGTAATTCCTTTGGAAGGAATGATTAAAACTGTAAGAAGAGAACTGAGGGTGAATAGTATCATGAAAGCCCAGAGAGGAGAGTATCCAGAAAGAAGTGGTCAACAGTGCCAAATACATCAGACAAATCAGGAAAGGTGAGCGCAATTAGGAATTTTCAGAATCAGGGCAAAGATGTTATTGATATAGGAAACTTGTGGAAAGCATGGGTGGGAGATGAAGGAGGGAAGGCAAGTTAATTCTGTAATGACTCTCCCACTCCCAACATCTCCAACTCATCATGGACCATGGATCCTTCAGCCTTTTGACAAGGCTGAAAGGGTAGGGGTTGCATGGTGCTGGAAGGTAGTGAATTTTCACAAAGGAGAGAAAAGCTTCCTCTGTCGAGTTCTGTCACTGCCAAGAGCAACTATTTTAATCAGGACCTCCCCTGTGACATACAGAAGGGAGTATAGTGCAGTGGTAAGACCATGGAATCTAAAGTCAGGCCCTGGGTTTGAATCAAGCGGGGAGGCATAGAGAATCAGTGCCTAGAATGTTAGTCTAGGGTTATCTTCCTTCATATCATTACTGTGTTGTGTTGGGATATTCATAGGTATTTGTGTCAGTGCAGATTGTAGCCTATGTTAGTACTAAACATACATAATCAATCAGTATACATTTATTAAGCACCAACTATGGGGCCAGGAGGGGCAGCTCAGTGGATAGAAAGCTGGGCCTGGAGTCAGGAAGACCCAAGTTCATAATCAGCCTCAGACACTTAATAGCTGTACCTTAAGTAAGTCACAACTTCTGTTTGCCCTAATCCACTAGAGAAGGAAATGGCAAACCACTCCAGTATCTATGACAAGAAAATATCATGGATAGTATTGGGGCTGCAATCCATGGGGTCACAGTGTCAGACACAACTGAATGACAGAACAACAACAAATGTGCCAGGAACTTCGCTAGTTACTAGGGATACAAAGACAAAAATGTGATGGGCATTACCCTCAAGGAGCTTACATTCTTTCAGGAAAGACAGTATGTACTAGATCAGGGGTGAGGAACCTGCCACATGTGGCCTTGAGGCCACAGTTTCCCCACCTCTATACTAAATAGATACATAGCTATAGATAGCTATCTGTATGTAATATTACTGTTTACACAGTCACATATACATACTATACATGGTCTACATAACATATAGATAGCTATAGATAGCTATCTGTATGTAATATTACTGTATATACAGTCACATATACATACTATAGATAGCTATCTCTATGTAATATTATTGCATATATAGTCACATATACATATTATATGTGTGTGTGTATGTGTATATATATATATATACATATATATATATATATATAATATGTAAATACAAGAAATTTGGGGTAGAGAATGAAACTAGTAACTGGGGACAGAGGAATCATGAAAGGCCTTATATAGGAAATGTCACTTGAGCTGAGCTTTGAAGGATATTTAGGGACTAGGAGTTAAAAATTAGGATGAAGTACATTCCCAGCACAGGAATAATAATAAAAATAGTAATAACTAACATTTATATAGTACTTACTATGAACCAGGTACTGTGCTAAGTACTTTATAATTATTATCTCATTTGATCAACTCTGAGAGATTAGGTGCTGTTATTATCCCCAAACAAGTCTTGCCCAGGGTCACACAGATAGTTAGTGTCTGGGGCTGGGTTTGAACTTGGATCTTCCTGCTTCCAAGCCCAACAATTTAACCACTGCACCACCTAGTTGCTGCTAATACAAAGGCAGAGATGGAATGTCATGTGTGGTTTGGCTATCAACAGAGTATGTGAAGGGAAGTAATGCATGATAAATATGGAAAGATAGTCTGTAAGGGCTTTAAATGCCAAATGAAGGGGTTTATATTTGTTCCTAAAAGTCAGAAAGACCATTTTGAGCAAGGGAAGAATGAGGGCAATCCCGTACTTTTGGAATATTGCTTTGGCAGTTGTGTGGAGAATGGATTGAACACTTGAGGCAGGGAGATGAGTCAGGAAGTCACTGAAATAGTCCAGGTGTCAGGTGATGAGGACCTGAACTGGGGTGGTGGCTTTGTGAACAGAAAGCTGGGGACATTCAAGAGATACTGCAGGGGTAAAGTTGACAGGACATGGCAAATTACTGGATATGTGTAGTGATGGAGCATGAAGAGCTGAGGATGACTCAAAGGTTGTTATCTAGCCATATGTAGAAAAAGGAATGAGGAATGATGAAGCTGCAAGGTCAAATCCAGTCTAGCACTGACTTTCTGGATTTTTTTAGCTGAGCTAGCTCCTGGTTTCTTCAGGTTTGGAATTCTCTGCCTCCTGGCCTTGCTTCAAGTCCTAGCTAAAACCTCAACTTCTCCAGGGTGCCTTTCTTGATTCTCTGTAACAGTGATAAAGCCTTCTCTCTAATGATTACTTCCAATTTATCCTGCACCTAACTTGTCGGTACAGTTGTTTACATGTCGATTCCCCCATTAGACTGAGCCCTTTGGGAGCAGAGTCTATCTTTTACTTTTTTTTTTGTATCCCCAAATCCCCAGTGCTTAGCAGAGTGCCTGGCACAAAGTAGGCACTTAAAAATGTTTATTGGCTGCCTGGTGGAGTACCGATCACAGGTCGAACATTTCTTCTCTTTTAACTTAAGCTCAGTCCAACTCCATTCTGGGTTTTGGGGAAGATCATTTACTAAAAGATGTGCTATCCAGTTAAACTGGCCATAAGACCCAGTGTTAACTAGTGATTTTCATCCATTGAATATTGATTTGCTTCATTCTTTACAGCTGTATAGCTTTTGACCCACTGGTGAGAAATATTTGTGGGCTGGTAATATTTAGTGCATAGAGAGTCAAGAGAACTAGGTTCTAGGCTCAGTTATGCTATGACTAGCTGTGTACCCCAGAGGTCATTTGACATCTCTGGACCTCAGTTTCCTCATCTGTCAAATATAAATTTGTCCAACACACCTGTCAAATGAGAGGGTTGGATTAGATGATCTTTCAGGTCCCTTCCAGCTCAGGAAATCTATAATTCCATATTTCAGACTCTTGTGTCATTCAAATGAGCCAAATGACTAGGGTTTGCCTGTAGTTTGAAAGACTACAATCTGATCCTGGGACATGTTCCAGTGTCCACTTCTGGCATATTGCCACATATTCCAGAATATTTTTTTAGTCAGTCACTGCAGGGATTTTTTGGAACTATTTTCTTGCTTTCTTAACAGAGTCTGTGTTGAATCCAAGCTCATAGTCCTAGCAGACCCACAGAAATATGAGTCCTTTCTTACTGGGGAGGGGAATTCAGACCTGTGATTTCAACTCTGTAGGGAAACTCTTAGTATGGAAAACTTTTGTCAATCCATGTGAGCTATCACACTATAACTAAAATGTTGCTTGAAGCCTTGAAAAGTTACATGACTTACCCATGGTCACACAGCCAGCATGTTTCAGAGGTAAGGTTTGAACCCAGGCTTCTTGCCTCCAAGGCTGTCCCTCAGGGTCACCTTATTGTCTTTCAACAATGAAGCACCTGCATGGAATTGTGTCTCCTGGTGTTTCATCTCTATAAGTCACTTTCCCAATAGCCCAGTGCAAGGCAGGGAACCAGAAGCACTAATGTCTTGGCAGTCTGACTTAGGAGAGGTTTTCAGTTGTGAAATGTCAACAGTGTGAGGGGTTCCTCTCTAGCTGCTGGTCTTCATCTGTTGCCACTGAGTGGGTTTGGCAGAGTGACAGAAAGAAACCAAAGGAAACAGAAGACTCCTGTAGATACCAGTGTGCTGACGACTAGTCCTCTCAGACTGACATCTCAAGTCACGAGTGAAAGTGGGCACTAGGGATGCCTGACCTTGGGCAGCCCTATAATCGATATGCATCCTGCTTGACATCCCGAAACATCTGTCCCAACTACACAGCAATCAGAGAACTCCATGGTAGCTTCCCATGGCCAACAAATTTGCATATTACCTTAGTGGGTATGAGAGGAAAAAAATCATATTCCTAGAACCGAGAAACACAGTGAAGTGGAGATTATTGTCACGCATCCTCTGAGGACTCCCCTTCTTCAAGCTGCTTCCTCCTGTCTGCCAAGACACCACCAGCTTTACCATGTCACCTGATGTCTGATGTTGCAGTCTTAGATTTTCTTGCCCTTACTGTAGCTTGATTTTCATATTTCTGCCATGGGATTGAGAGAGCAGAGTTAAAGCTGTTGCTATTTTTATCCACTGTGCATGTTTTTTTCTTTTCTTCAACAAAGGTACAGTCAAGGAAGTACACAAGAAATCACAAGATACTGTGTGGTATCAACTTGATGCCAAAGTATTGTAAGAACTCAGGAAAAGAATAATCACTTTGACCAAGAGTTAGGCCAGAAAACCTCACAATGGAGGTTGGGCATCCAAGGCAGTAAGGAATTAGGACTGATAGATAGCAGAAAGTAGTACAATCAAGGATAGAAGGCAGGCTTGAGCAAAGATCCAAAGGAAAAAATAGATGCCATATGTAGGTAGTACAGAAAATAGTGTGATTAGAGTAAAGGATCTAGGCTGAGGAGTAATGGGAAATAGGAATGGATAGGAAAGGCTGATGTCGGGCTAATAAGTTGGGGTTTAATATGATAAACAATAGAGAGCTGTTATTAGTTCTTACACAAGGAATGACATGGTGTACCCCCACCAGTTAGTACTTATGGAGAAGGTGACCATATGTGGTACTGTCCTGAGGTTCAGTAGGGCTTTGGTACATAAAAACTATATTTATTAACTGTGGTAAAGAATAAAAAGAATTAAAGTCTACTTTCCAATATTTTGTAACTTGTGTGACTAGAGGAGCTATTTAACCTCCCTGAGCCTCACTTTCTTTATCTGAAAAATGGGGATGATAAAAAAAATACTCTTACTACCTATCTCAGCAGATTGTTGTGAGTCAAGTGCTTTTTGAACTGTGAAACACTATATGAATAAATGTGAGCTACTGTTATTAGTAGAAAGAGCAATGAGAAATTGAATGATGGGTTTTATATATATATATATATATATATATATATATATACATATATGCATATATATATAATATATGGATTATGCATATATATATGTATTATGCATATATATATATATATATATATATATATATATATATATATATATATATATATATATATATATATATATATATATAATGACCAAGCAAGGTCCCAGAGAAGAGTTGGGAAAATTCACTTCTCTATGCTCTTTGCAGAGATAAAGGACTATGACTATGAAATATTGTATGTTCTGTTAGATGTAGCCAATGTGCTGGTTCATTTTTCATCTTTTTTTCCCTCTTTTTTATTTATTGTTACAAGGGAAGGCTCATGGGCAAGGGGGAAAGGAAGAAGAATATATTCAGAAATGAAGATGATATAAAAACAAAATATATCAATGAAAACCAGATCTTTTTAAAAGCACATTAAACATGAATCAAGAGCTCCGAGTTTTAAGTCTGGATCTGACACCTAATCATTTAACCTCTTGGTTAAGTCTTGGGTATTTGTACTAAGTACTGTATAAGTCTTAAAGTGCTATATAAATGCAAGGCATGATTAGAGTATTACAAAATATAGAATGTGGACAGAATATGGCAATGTGACATAAAGGAAAGAGAGCTGGTCCTCAACACTTGTATTTGGGTCCTGTGCCTGACATTTATGTAGCATGATGCTAGGAAAGTCATTCAACTTCTCAGTGTTCTAAGATAATAAATAGCAGATAAATGATAAAATGTTCTAAGTAGATAAATGTCAAGCCTGCATTGGAATAGGGAATTTTCCTCATCTGGTAGTTCCCTAAGCCAATGAAACCTCAAGTCCAGTCACCATCCCAAAGACTTCTTTAGATCTCTTGAAGTCTTGCTGCTTGACATTTGCTCTAACACTATTATTGGAAATATTTATGGCTAAGGATTGTGACAAAATCAATAACCAACAGCAAGCCATGGTCAACACTTAATTCTCTGTGCTAAGAGAAAGCAGATGGCACAGAGCAGTGGATATTCCAACAACAATGAATATTTGAGTTTTCAAATACATTATGATATTTTACAGTTTTTTCTTGTCTTTTGGCTACAGCTAATATTCAAATTTTCTCTGCACAAATGCCAAGAAAAAATAGCCCCAGTTTACCAGGTGGCAGAGAAATTCCAGTGTGGGTTTAAAGCTCTGCTGGCAATAATCCAGAGTAGATAACACACATGCAAATAATTAATAGATTACTATATTTATGTATGTGACATTTGGTAGACATTTAGGTTCTAGAGTTATATTGCAGACCTTTCCTCAAAGATATGTCTCTTTGACTACTATTGGGTAGGTGTTGTGTGCCATCTTTTATACTAATCATATACATTTCTTCTAGTATCACTTCAATCCTTCCCAGTCAGTTCTTGTCATGGAAGGAGAAGACATCGGGAATATAAATCAGGCTCTCCAGAAAGTGTCCTATATCAACTCCAGGCAATTCCCCACCGCAGGAGTCAGGAGGCTCAAAGTGTCATCAAAAGTCCAGTAAGTTCAACTCCATCAAACCCATTAAATCCATCATGCTGCAAAAGTGTACTTGCCATAAGAATTGGGAAGAGGGAAATCAATGTTCCTAAGAGAAAAAAAATACCATCTACTAAGCATTCAGCAAATGGTCACTTTTCTATACCTACAGTGTTATTCTTCTCCTTTGGAAAAGGGATTGATCCAATTTTCTAAGTATCTGAAGAGGCCTATGTAAATCTATTTAAAAATTCATTATTTAATTTTACTTTTCAGGAAATCTTTTGTTTTACTGCTTAGAATATTCTGGTCTTCATTTTGTCAATTGTGCCTACTATAATAGCAGTATGGGTCCATTCTAAATCCAAGAACCAAATACATAGCCGCATATATGGATGGCCTAATTTAAGGAGCCCTGGGAAGGTGCCTTTACTCAAAACTACCTCTGTCATTGTTCTGTAGCAGTTTGTTTGACCTAATATTCCACCACTAAAGCCCCCTTTCTTGGGAGACTTAGTTTTTCATTTTCTCTGTCCCTTATCCCAATGTAAATAAAACTGGGAAGGCTAAACCTTGCCATCTAACACCACAGCAGGAATAAGCATATATCTATTTGCATGTTGTCTCCCTTATTGGATTGCAAGCTCCTTGAGGGCAGGGGACTGTCTTTTGCCTCTTTTTGTATCCTTAGTGCTTAGCGTAATGCCTGGTGCATAGTAAGTACTTAACAAATATTTATTGAATTAAAGTATGTCAATCATTTGATCAACAAATATTTATTGAATATCTACTAGGTACTAGGCCACTGTTTTGGAGCTGTAAAAGATCTGAAGGCTAAGGAGAAGTCACAGACTGTGTGACATTCTTTGTATGACCTTGAGCGAGTCACTTCCCACCTCTGGATCTTAACTTTTCTCATCTAGAAAATGAAAGGGCTGAACTAGGTGACTTTTGTTTTAATATAAATTTATTTATTTTTAGCTTTTAACATTCACTCCCACAAGTTTTTGAATTCCAAATTTATATCCCATCTCCCACCTCCTCCCACACTAAGATGGCATGCATTCTGAATATCCCTTCCCCTAGTCTGTCCTCTCTTCTATCTCTCTCCCCTTCTCTTTTCCCCTTCCCCTTCTATTTTCCTGTAGGGCAGGATAGAATCTGTACCCCATTTCCTGTATTTCTTATTTCCCAGTAGCATGTGAAAACATTTTTTTTAAACGTATGTTTTTAAAACTTTAGGTTTCAAATTTTCTCTCTTCCTCCCTCCCCACCCACCCTCATTGAAAAGGCAAGCAACTCAATATAGGTTGTACATGTGCAGTTATGCAAAACACGTCCATACTAGACATGTTGTGAAAAACTAACTCTATTTCCCTTAATTCTATCCTGCCCTCCCATTTATTCTATTCTTTCTTTTGACCCTGTCCCTCCTCAGAAGTATTTACTTCTGATTACTCCCTTTCCCAATCTGCCCTCCTCTCTATCATCCCCCTGCTCTCTTGTCCCCTTCTCCCCCTATTTTCCTGTAGGGTAAGACAGATTTCCATACCCAATTGAATGTGTATGTTATTCCCTCCTTAAGCCAAATCCTATGAGAATAAGATTCACTCATTCCCTCTCACCTTCCCCTGTTTCCCCTCCACTTTTCTTTTCTGTTTTTTTTTTCTGAGATAATTTACCCCATTCTACCTCCCCTTTCTTCTCTGAGTATCATCCTCTCTCATCCCTTAATTTTATTCTCCAGATATGACCCCTTAATCTTCAACTCACCCTGTGCCCTCTCTCTCTATCTATCTATACATTACATACATATAATTTTTTTCCTCAACTACCCTAATACTGACAAAGTCTCATGAGTTATAAATATCATCTTTCCATGCAGGAATGTAAACAGTTCAATCTTAATAAGTCTCTTATGATTTCTCTTCCTGTTTACTCTTCATGTTCCACTTCAGTCCTGTATTTGAAAGTCAATTTTCTATTCAGCTCTGGTCTTTTCATCAAGAATGCTTGAAAGTCCTCTATTTCACTGAATGAACATTTTTTCCCCTGAAGGATTATACTCAGTTTTGCTGGGTAGGTGATTCTTGATTGTTATCCTATCTCCTTTGCCCATGCCCTGCGGTCCTTTAATGTAGAAGCTGATAAATCTTGTGTTATACTGATTGTGTTTCCACAGTACTTGAACTGTTTCCTTCTGGCAGCTTGTAACATTTTCTCCTTGACCTGGGAACTCTGGAATTTGGCTACAATATTCCTAGAAGTTTTCCTTTGGGGATCTCTTTCAGGAGGAGATCTGTGGATTCTTTCAATTTCTATTTTGCCCTCTGGTTCTAGAATATCAGGGCAGTTTTCCTTGATAATTTCTTGAAAGATGATGTCTAGGCTCTTTTTTTGATCATGGCTTTCAGATAGTCCAATAATTTTTAAATTCTCTCTCCTAGATCTATTTTCCAGGTCAGTTGTTTTTCCAATGAGATATTTCACATTGTTTTGTAATTTTTCATTCTTTTGGATTTGTTTTACAGTGTTTTGATTTCTCATAAAGTCAGTAGCTTCCAATTGCTCTATTCTAATTTTTAAGGAAGTATTTTCTTCAGTAATCTTTTGGACTTCCTTTTCCATTCGGCCAATTTTTCTTTTTAGGGCATTCTTCTCCTCATTGGCTTTTTGGACCTCTTTTGCCATTTGGGTTAGGCTATTTTTTAAGGTGTTATTTTCTTCAGTATTTTTTGGGTCTCCTTTAGCAAGCTGTTGACTTGTTTTTTGATTTTCTTGCATCACTCTCATTTTCTCTACTTCCCTTACTTGCTTCTCAAAATCCCTTTTGAGCTCTTCCAAGGCCTGGGACTGATTCATATTTTTCTTGGAGGCTTTGGATGTAGGAGCTTTGACTTTGTTGTCTTCTTCTGGTTGTATATTTTGATCTTCTTTTTCACCAAAGTAAGATAATATAGTCTGACTCTTTTTGCTGCTTGCTCATGATCCCAGCCAATTACTTGAGTTTTAAACTCTTTGTTAAGGTAAGAGTCTGCTTCCAATGTGGAGAATGTATTGTCCCAAGCTTCAGGGGTTTGTACAGGTATTTTCAGAGATACTTGTAGGGACCTATAAATTTTCAGTTCTTCCAAGGTGGTATGATAAGGGGCGAGGTGTTTACTCCTTTCCTGGCCTGTGACCACAAGTATTCCTTTCTGTCCTGTAACTGTGAGGAGGGTTCCTCTCCACAGCCACTCAAGCTCCACCACGCAGCTCCTCCTCACCCAGCACTGCCCCAGAACTGTGACCCAGATCCAAACAGGGCAAAGCAAGAGATTCCTGCCTCAGCACTGGCAAAGAGATCCCTGCAATCCCTCTCTGATCAGCCACTGGATTCCCCTTCAGTCTGTGGGCCGGAGGCTCAGGAAGCAGCTGCCCCCCCCGGCCCGCTCTTGGGGAATGGAGCTGAAACCCCAACTTCCTGTCTCAGCACCGACAGAAACAGACTTTTCCCACTGACCTTCTAAGTTGTCTTTGGCGTTCGTGGATTGAGGAGTCTGGAAACAGCCACAGCTGCCCGAGATTCAGTCCTCTGAGGCCTGCTCCAGGTTCACTGAGGCCTGCGTGCCCACGCCGCACTGCCCAGCCCAGCGCAATACACCTTTCTGATCAATCATCCAGGTTGTCTTGGGCTGGAAATTTGTTTCACTCTGTCTTTTTGTGGGTTCTGCTGCTTCAGAATTTGTTTAGAGCCATTTTTTATGAGTATTTGGAGAGGTTTGCAGGAGAGCTCAAGCAAGTCACTGCTTTCACTCCGCCATCTTGGCTCAGCCCTCTGAACTAGGTGACTTTCAAGGTCCTATCCAGCTTTGTATCACTGATCGTCTGGCCCTATTCTCAAGGGCCTCTTAAGTAGTCTGTTATAAATGTTTCCTAACTGGTCTCCTTGCCTGTAGTCTTCTCCAACTATCCTTTAGGTAGCTGCTAAAATAAATCTTTCTAATACACAGGTCTAGCTATGTTGTTTTTGTTGTTTATTCTTCATTCCCAAAGAGGACCAATGACATCAGGAGGGTGATGTCTTGACTTGCAAGTGAATTGGATTTAAGTGAGTCATCAGCCTCATTCTCTCCTCCAAAGTCATTTGGTTTCCAGTGGCAAGATATAGGGCAGGACACCCAGATGCAGTAAGAAAGCTAAGGTCTTTCCCAGGTCTGTTTGTCTGAGGCAACCCCCATTCAGTGATTAAAGAATAGGTAAGAATTGAGGCAAAAGATGGCCTAGTTCGTCTTCTCAAAAGAATCAGTCTGGGAGGGGAAGATCCTGGCCAGGGTTTCTGGCTAGAACAGGAACAATTGCTGTTTGCACTTGCTCTGAGCCATCAAAACCCAAACAATGAGCAAGTGAGGCTTGGACTGGGACCTATTATTAGCCAATCACTGAGAGCCAGAATGATTTAGGTTTAAAGGCATAGTCAGGTAGCTCCATCTGAATCCCAATGGGCTTTATCAAAGCCTGGTTTTTCAGAGCTATATTTCAAGAAATCATAAATTAAAACTACATGAGACAAAAGGGTTAATTGTCCCACTTGGGGTGGAGGGGGGAAATGATAAAATAAATAAATAGGGAAGAAAAAAAATTGACCATTTCCAAACCCCAAGATATCTTGAGAAGTATAAGCAATCAAAATTTATACTCCTTTGGATGGAGCACCCACATGTAAAGGTATGACTCCCCATGTGGACGGGGGGGGAGGAGGAAGAGAGAGAAGGAAGGAAGGAAATAGTAGCATTGCCCAACTAGAACTATCTATATTACTCCCCTGCTTAAAAATTTCTTGTGCCTCCCCATTGCCTCTAGAATAAATCACAAATTCTTTAGCCTAATTTTGAAGGCCTTAAATGATGGTTCACCCTACCACATATTACACCACTTGGCATACACTACATTCGAGACTGACGAGGTTACTTACCTATTTCCCAGACTATTTCCCCCCATTCTCCTACCCTTTGTTTATTCACACTAGCTGTCTGTGTGCT